GGGATGCAGGGGCACGTCCTGCTCCAGTGACTCCGGGTTTGCCCCCTGCTGCAGCGCACTAGAAGCTCCTCACCTGGGCGTTTTCCATTTAATGGCTGGCTCCGAGAGGGCCCTGCCCCTTTCCCCGGCCCTGGCTGACCAGCTCGGTGCTCCTCCCTTCCCGCCCCGTCCCCTGCAGATGGGATTTACACCCTGCGCACCGAGAACGGCGAGACCTACCAGACCTTCTGTGATATGACCACCAAGGGGGGCGGCTGGACCCTGGTGGCCAGCGTGCACGAGAACAATGCCTACGGCAAGTGCACCAATGGCGATCGCTGGTCCAGCCAGCAGGGAAACAATGTCAACTACCCAGAGGGAGAAGGCAACTGGGCCAATTACAACACCTTCGGCTCTGCAGTGGGCTCCACCAGCGATGACTACAAGGTGGGGTCCCCTTCTCCATGGCCAATAGCTACCTGCTGGGGAGAGAGGGTGCGTTAGAATGTGGGTGAATGCACATGGGCAGGTGGGAGACATGGGCATGGGGGTTAAATGGGGGGATGGTCCAGAGGTCAAGGTGCTAGCGAAGGGCTTGGAAGTCCTGGGGTCCATTTCCTGCCCTGCCACAAGCCCCCTGTGTGACCTAGGGCAAGTCACCTAGTCTCTGTGCCTCGGTTCTCCCCTGTACAATGGGGAATTGTGCTTCTCTGCTTTGTGGGGCGAGTGTCAGGATGCATATACCACAGCTGGGGAGGTGCCCGGATGCCCCGGTGATGGGGGGGCCGGTTAAGTACCAGGGATGTGGCTGAGAGGTTTCAACTGGGTCCTCACTTTTCAGAACCCTGGTTATTACGATCTTCAAGCCCAGGACCTGTCTGTGTGGCACGTAACCAACAAGACGCCCCTGAAGGAATGGAAGAACAGGTCCATCCTGAGGTACCACACCGAGACTGGCTTCCTGCCCTCAGAGGGGGGGAACCTCCTCAGACTCTACCAGGTGATGGCACTGGGCTGGGGGCTTTGGAGGGGCGTGTGGCTCTGCTGGGGGGCCAGGGGCCTATAATGGGACACAGAGCTCTCAACCAATTGCTGGCATTCACATCCCAAACCAGCCACTGCCTTGGCACTGATGTGCTGGCAGACTCAGCAGAGAGGCTGAGCAGCCCACGGAGACTGACCCCACCTCATGCCCTGGAGATGGGGGGGCCTTTGGACATAATTCTTTGGTGCTAGGCCAAGCCCTCGACCCACCCTTGAGCCCCAGCTTTGGGGTTCAGGCATCCTAGCAGGGGCATCTCCGCAGGGCTGGGGGTGGGGGGGAAACAATGCTGGACACATGCTGATCCTCACCTATTATCATTTACTGCCCGCATTGTGGCAGGTCCTAGTGAACCCCCCGCAGACCAGGGCCCCACGGTGCTAGGTGCTGCATGGATCCAGAACACAACAGTCCCTGCCCCAAACAGTCTGTGATAAATCCACCCCAAGGGGCACCTTGACATGCCAGATTTCCCTGCCCACTGCTGGGGTCACTGTGCCCCAGGACTGGCCTGTGTGGGAGGCGGCACTGACTGAACTAATCACCCAGCGAGCATGTGTCACTGAAGCTGCCTCGTCTGTGCTGCAGCTGCCCTGCCACAGGGACAGAAACTAACACTGGATTCTCGCTGCGTTTGTCTCCCAGAAATACCCAGTGAAATACGGCGCTGGCGTCTGCAAGACCAACAATGGCCCCGCCGTGCCCATCATCTACGACTATGGCGATGCCCAGCAAACTGCCAGCTATTACGCGCCAGCTGCCCGAAGTAAGTCTGCCGTGAGCGTGCGGGTTCTGCCTCTCCACCTGTACAGACCAACCCTGTCCTTCCAGTCTGAACGACCTTCGTTTTAGAGACAGGGCAAACGATTACATGAGAGAGAGGATATGGACAATCCCCAGGAGAGCGCATGGTGTGTGTTCTCCACTTTAACATGCTACATGGCAACTGAACACAAAAGGGCTCTGGCATGGGGTGGTCTGTGATACCTGGTGAGGGTGTGGCCAGAAGAGAGGACAGCAGGAAGTGGAGACTGAGGAAAGAGGTGGTCTGGAGTTTCCAATCTCTGGGAAAGGAGCCAAGGAGAAGAGGCAGGAGGGGGCTTATTCCCTAAAGCTGGCCCTGAAGGGTGGTGGCAGCAAGGGTGGAGGAGATGCCTGTGAGAAGGACCCTTCCCCTCCCCCCTGCACCCGACAGACAGACCAGGGATAAGGACCCAGCCTGGGGAGAGCCAGACCAGGACAAGCCCTGAGAGTCAGCAGGGTGACCGAAGGAGCCCTTCCCCATCCCAGACTGGGGAAATCTCCAGCTGGGGAATGAGGCAGCGGCTGCACTGGCAGCTCATGCCAGAGGGGTGTTTTGAGATCGTGGCACTACCCAGGGCTCCTGGGAACTGAAAGGTGCAGTGCACCAAAGACACACGCAGAACAGTGACAGAGCTACGGTTCGCCCAGCTGTGACGGGACAACTGCCCAGCTCCTGTGTGGGAATGGAATTAGAACGTAAGAACCTAACAATGGCCATACTGGACAGGCCAATGGTCCATCGAACCCAGTATCCTGTCTTCCGACAGAGGCCAATGCCAGGTGCTCCAGAGGGAATGAACAGAACAGGGAATGATCAAGTGATCCATCCCCTGTCGCCCATTCCCAGCTTCTGGCAAACAGAGGCTGGGGACACCATCCCATAGAATCATAGAATATTAGGGTTGGAAGAGACCTCAGGAGGTCATCCAGTCCAACCCCCTGCTCAAAGCAGGACCAATCCCAACTAAATCATCCCAGCCAGGGTTTTGTCAAGCCGGGCCTTAAAAACCTCTAAGGATGGAGAGTCCACTACCTCCCTAGGTAACCCATTCCAGTGCTTCACCACCCTCCTAGTGAAATAGTGTTTCCTAATATCCAACCTAGACCTCTCCCACTGCAACTTGAGACCATTACTCCTTGTTCTGCCATCTGCCACCACTGAGAACAGCCGAGCTCCATCCTCTTTGGAACCTCCCTTCAGGTAGTTGAAGGCTGCTATCAAATCCCCCCTCACTCTTCTCTTCTGCAGACTAAATAAGCCCAGTTCCCTCAGTCTCTCCTCATAAGTCATGTGCCCCAGCCCCCTAATCATTTTCGTTGCCCTCCGCTGGACTCTCCCCAATTTGTCCACATCCTTTCTGTAGTGGGGGACCCAAAACTAGATGCAATACTCCAGATATGGCCTCACTAGTGCCGAATAGAGGGGAATAATCACGTCCCACGATCTGCTGGCAATGATCCTACTAATGCAGCCCAATATGCCGTTGGCCTTCTTGGCAACAAGGGCACACTGCTGACTCATATCCAGCTTCTCATTCACTGTAATCCCCAGGTCCTTTTCTGCAGAACTGCCGCTTAGCCAGTCGGTCCCCAGTTTGTAACAGTGCATGGGATTCTTCCATCTTAAGTGCAGGACTCTGCACTTGTCCTTGTTGAACCTGATCCAATTTCTTTTGGCCCAATCCTCCAATTTGTCCAGGTTACTCTGGACCCTATCCCTACCCTCCAGCACATCTACCTCTCCCCCCAGCTTAGTGTCATCTGCAAACTTGCTGAGGGTGCAATCCATCCCATCATCCACATCATTAATGAAAATGTTGAACAAAACCACCCCATGACCTACCTCTAGGGCACTCCGCTTGATACCGGCTGCTAACTAGACATTGAGCCGTTGATCACTACCCATTAAGCCCAACGATCTAGCCAGCTTTCTATCTACCTTATAGTCCATTCATCCAATCCATACTTTTTTAACTTGCTGGCAGGGCCGACTTTGGCTTTTTGGCTGCCCCAAGCAAAAAAAAAACAAAAAAAACCGGGGCGGCCAGAACGGCAGAGCAAAAAACCAAAAAAACCTGCGGCGCGGCCGGAGCGCGGGTGCAGGGGGACCGGCTGGGGGGGGAAGAGGGAGTGGGCAGGAGAGAGAGAGAAGGGAGCGGCCAGGGCTACAGCAGGGGCGCTGCCACACGACCCCTCCCGCTGGGCCGCCTCCTGCCGCTAGGGCTCTGCTCCGGTCGGCGGGGAAGGAAGGAAGAGGACTGCCCTGCAGGGCGCTCCGGTCCTCCATGCCGCCGCCCCCTACAGGGCGGCCGGAGCAGAACAACAACAACAAAAAAGCGGCCGTGCCACCCTAGGATTGGGCAGAATGCCGCCTCGAACAATCTGCCGCCCCAAGCACCAGCTTGCTCAGCTGGTGCCTGGAGCCGGCCCTGCTTGCTGGCAAGAATACTATGGGAGACCATATCAAAAGCTTTGCTAAAGTCAAGATACATCACGTCCACTGCTTTCCCCATATCCACAGAGCCAGTTATCTCCTCATAGAAGGCAATCAGGTTGGTCAGGCATGACTTGCCCTTGGTGAATCCATGTTGACTGTTCCTGATCACCTTCCTCTCCTCCAAGTGCTTCAAAATGGATTCCCTGAGGACCTGCTCCATGATATTTCCCTACCCATCCTGGCTAATAGCCATTGATGGATCTATCCTCCATGAACTTATCTAGCTGTTTTTTGAGCCCTGTTATAATCTTGGCTTTCACATTCTCCGAGAAAGAGTTCCACAGGTTGACTCTGTGTTGTGTGAAGAAATACTTCCTTTTGTTTTAAACCTATTGCCTATTAATTCCATTTGGTGACCCCTAGCTCTTGTGTTATGAGGAATAAATAATACTTCCTTATTCACTTTCTCCACACCAGTCAAGATTTTATAGACCTCTATCATATCACCCCTTAGCCGTCTCTTTTCCAAGCTGAAAAGTCCCAGTCTTATTAATCTCCCCTCATACGGAAGCTGTTCCAAACCCCTAATCATTTTTGTTGCTCTTTTCTGTACCGTTTCCAATTCCAGAATAAATGTTTTGAGATAGGGCAACCACATCCGCACGCAGTTGTGACGGGTTGGATCACAGAAACCCCCTTGGGAGCTGCCACCTAATGTACCAAGACTACTTCTATTCCTGTTTTCTCTGCCAGCTCAGGACTCCAGCACCCAGTCTTGCTGGGCCAGACACTTCAGTCTGCTCCAACACAGACCCAGGGTCTGAATCACTTGCCCCAAAGCTGCAAGTTTACCTGAAAACAGCTTACAGAAGTGTGCTTGCCTTTAGCACTCAGATGCCCAACTCCCAATGGGGTCTAAACCCAGATAAATCCGTTTTACCCTGCATAAAGCTTATGCAGGGCAAACTCATAAATTGTTCGCCCTCTATAACACTGATAGAGAGAGATGCACAGTTGTTTGCTCCCCCAGGTATTAATACATACTCTGAGTAAATTATTAAATAAAAAGTGATTTTATTAAATACAGAAAATAGGATTTAAGTGGTTCCAAGCAATAACAGACAGAACAAAGTAAGTCACCAAGCAAAATAAAATAAAATGCGCAACTCTATGTCTAATCAAACTGAACACAGATAATCTCACCTTCAGAGATGCTTCAGTAAGTTTTTTCTCAGACTGGACACCTTCCAGGCCTGGGCACAATTCTTTCCCCTGGAACACCTCTTGTTCCAGCTCAGGTGATAGCTAGGGGATTCTTCATGATGGCTCCTCTCCCCCTCTGTTCTCTTCCAACCCTTTATATATTTTTTGCATAAGGCGGGAACCCTTTGTCCCTCTGGATTTCCACCCCCTCTCACTGGAAAAGCACCCAGGTTAAAGATGGATTCCAGGTCAGGTGACATGATCACATGTCACTGCAAGACTTCATTACCCACTTGCCAGCACACACATATACAGGAAGACTCACAGGTAAACACAGCCATGTGCAGACAATGGTCCTGGTTAATGGGAGTTATCAAGATTCCAAACCACTATTAATGGCCCACACTTTGCATAATTACAATAGGCCCTCAGAGTTATATTTCATATTTCTAGTTTCAGATACAAGAGTGATACATTTCTACAAATAGGATGAGCACACTCAGTAGATTATAAGCTTTGTAATGATACCTTACAAGAGGTATCATTCTTTTGCATGAAGCATATTCCAGTTACATTATATTCACTTCTTATTATGTTTTTATAAGACCATATAGACTGCACAACGTCACAGCAGTATTCAAGATGTGGGCGAACCATGGATTTATATAGAGGCAATATATTTTCTGTCTTCTTATCTATCCCCTTCCTAATGAGTCCCAACATTCTGTTCGCTTTTTTGGACGGCTGCTGCAGACTGAGCAGATGTTTTCAGAGAACTATGCACAATGACGCCAAGATTTCTTTCTTGAGTGGTAACAGCTAATATAGACTCCATCATTTTATATGTGTAGTTGAGATTATGTTTTCCAATGTGCATTACTTTGGATTTATCAGCATTGAATTTCATCTGCCATTTTGTTGCCCAGTCATCCAATTTTGTGTGGTCCCTTTGTAACTCTTCACAGTCTGCTTTGGACTTAAGTATCTTGAGTAGTTTTGTATCAGCTGCAATTTTGCCACCTCACTGTTTACCCCTTTGTTGAGATAATTTATGAATATGTTGAACAGCACTGGTCCCAGTACAGATCCCTGGGGGAGCCACTAGTTACCTCTATTTACTATTTACCAGTCTGAAAACAGACCATTTATTTCTACCTTTTGTTTCCTATCTTTTAACCAATTACTAATCAGTGAGAGTACCTTCCTTCTTATCCCACGACTGCTTACTTTGCCTAAGAGCCTTTGTTGAGGGAACTTGTCAAAGGCTTTCTGAAAATCTAAGTACACTATATCCACTAGATCTACCTTGTCCACAAGCTTGTTAACCCCTTCAAAGAATTCTAGTAGATTAGCGAGGCATGATTTCCCTTTACAAAAACCATGTTGACTCTTCCCAACAAATTGTGTTCATCTATGCATCTGATAATTCTATTCTTTACTATAGTTTTAACCAATTTGCCTGGTATTGAAATTAGGTTTACCAGCCTGTAATTGCCAGGATTGCCTATGGAGTCTTAAAAAAAAATTGGTGTCACATTAGCTATCTTCCAGTCATCTGGTACATTTAAACGATAGGTTACATACCAGAGTTGGTAGTTCTGCAATTTCACGTGAATTCCTTCAGAACTCTTGGGTGATACCATCTGGTCCTAGTGACTTATTACTGTTTAATTTATCAATTTGTTCCAAAACCTCCCTAATGACAGCTAAATCTGGGACAGTTCCTCAGATTTGTCACCTAAAAAGAATGGTTCAGGTTTGGGAATCTCCTGCATATTCTCAGCCGTGAAGACCGATGCAAATAATTCATTTAGTTTCTCTGCCATGGCCTAGTCAGGAGTTCCAGATCCTTAATCATTCCCAGTTCACACACAGGAACTTAACGAAGGGGCTTGGCTGGGATCAGAGCTCTGTCACTTCTCTCCACCTGTCCATGGCAAACAATGGTTCTGACCTCCCCTTTTCTGTCACCAGCTGAATTCGTCCCCGGCTACATCCAGTTCCGCGTATTTAATACTGACAAGGCGGCCATGGCTCTGTGTGCTGGGGTGAAAGTCACCGGCTGTAACACCGAGCATGTGAGTATCTGACCAGAGTGGGATTAGGGTTGGAGCAGGGTCCAGGATGAGTGGCGGGCTGGAGTGGAGCGAATAATCTGAAGTCCCCACCACCATTTTTTTGTGTCAACCCAAAATGGATGAAAACCCCAAATAGTTGTGGTGGGTCAAACAAAATATTGTATTTGACTCAAAGCAGCCTGGCATTTTTCATTTTTGTTGTTGTTGTTTCTTTTTTTGTGTATTTCTCCCCATTTTTAAAAATAATAAAATAGCTAAATATTCAAACCAAATATTCATTCTCTCTCTCTCTCTCTCTCTCTCTCTCTCACACACACACACACACACACACACACACACACACACACACACACACACACACACACACGTTGAACCTTACTTCGGAAATAGTTTTGGTCGACCCAAAACTGCATTTTTCAGCAGAAGTTGTGTGTCCAGCTCTGCTGATGAGCTGTGGAGCCACCTAGTGTCACTGTTGGAGCTCACTGCCTGCGCAAAGACTCTTTTTTTACCTCTGCACTGCCACAGGGAGGGTTCAGCTGTGCCCATGCAGGCAATCACCCCCCAGGGGAGTGTAGGGGCTGCTGATGTTATTTCTGTCCTTTGGGGTTCCATCAAGGGAGGACCAGCTCACAGGAGCCCTGTTGTCAGAAGCTGCTGGGGATACGGGGGTGGATGTGCTGAATCAGTGTATTTTCTGGTGCACTGGGGGACCATTTCAGTTCTAGGGGGAAAGGGCCTTTCTAATTTCTAATTGGCAGTAGCAGGAGCTTGGAGTCGTGAGTTGAGTCCATATGTCCAGATATTGCAGTTCAAGGAGGGGGATAATGCCTGGCCTTTCACTAACTGCCTATCCAGTCCTCTCCATCAGTCTGTGTTTAGCCACTGAGCAGGATTCAAACAAGGACGGGCTAGGAGAACACATGATAGTCAGGGTTATATCGTGAGGTCTTTGGAGCAGGGACTGTCTCTCTCTTGTGTCTGTACAGCGCCTAGTGTCAGGGGTCCTGGGCCATGGCTGGGGCTTCTAGGTGCTATCGTAATACACCTAATAACTAATGTACAGCGCCTAGCACCAGGGTTCTGGGCCATGGATGGCTGGGGGCTCTGAGATTTAATGCAAACAATAAATACTAAAAATAAAAACCCAATGGCCCAAAGCCTCCTGGCCCTGCCCCTTGTGCAGACGTTCACACCAGCGCTAAAGGAGCTGTCATCTGGGGGCCCTTTGCACCAAGCTAAGCGACTGCACAAGAGTCAGGGCAATGGAGAGTCTGGTCCCAAGAGTTAGGAAGAGATTTAAATGTTCATGCTTCAGGGCCTTAGTTGGCCTCTGACTCGGGGGGTGGGGTGGTCAGGAGGTAACTTTCTCTGGGGACAGATTATTCGCCAACTGGCCATTGCAGGGTTTCTTGTGGTTTCCTGTGAAGCAGCTGGCACTGGCCTGGAGACAGGAGAGCGGCTAGATGGGCCCCTGCTCTGCTCCCATCTGGCAATTCCTTTGTTCTCTCCTCAGCACTGCATAGGTGGAGGAGGGTTCTTCCCAGAAGGGAACCCGGTTCAGTGCGGCGATTTCCCTGCCTTTGCCTGGGATGGCTATGGAACCCATCAGCAGTGGAGCGTATCCAAGGAGATGATTGAATCCGCAGTGCTGCTGTTCTACCGCTGAGTCCGGAAAGGCTGGCGTGACCCAGTGAACGACGCTGCTTCACTCCAGCCGGAGCTACTCCCTGGCTTTGAACTCAGACGTCTGCCATGCAAATAAAGAATGTGAAGTGGGCTGGGGTCTTGGTGTGATTTGCTCCCCTTGCGACTGAGAGGCCTGCAGGGCTCTCAGCACCAGTCAGAATGAGACGCTTCTGTCATTATTTGTAATTATTTACGGTTAGCAGTAACAGGAGCACTGGGTGTTATTATGTGGTGATTTTCCTCTGTCAATCTCAAAGCACTTTACAAAGCAGGTCTGTAGCATTATTCCCATTTTAGATGGGGAAACTGAGGCACAGGGAGGTGACGTGATTTGCCCAAGGTCACCCAGCAGGCCAGTAGCACAGTAGCAGGTCTCCTGAGTCTAGTCTAGTGCTTCATCCCTTGCCCCCCCCTTCTCTAGTCGTAGTTGCTAGGACCACCTATGATTAATATTCCCCACCATGTCCCATTCTAAAACTCTGTTTTCATTGCTTATAATTTTGCCAAACTTCAACCCTTTGGGCTGGAATTTCCCTGGTGGGGCTCTGCCCCAGCTGAATTTCTTTCTTTTCTTTTAACTCAGCTGAAAGGGCTCAGCTGATACCCAGAACAGTGTTTTGTCCATGTTTAAAAAAAAAAAATGCTGGCAATCTTGTCTTGAAAGCTGTCCCCTACCTGCCCCCAAACACTGGAGCAGTGACTTGAAATTTCTGCCTCAAAAAACGACCAACCTGGCTTAGGTGCCTCCCTCCAGCCCGGAGTTAGGCGTCTAAATCCCTTTGAGGGGCGGGGCTTAGGTTTTCCTCAGCAGCAGCCTAAGGTGCATTGCACCCCCATGGCGCCACCTGGTGGAGGGCAGAGGGGAACATTTCCACCCAGAGTCAATCCTGTTCCCCACCCCTCTGGAGGGGTGTCACTCTGGAATACAGGGAGATGGCTCTGCCCCAGCCTCCAGTGTAGGGTGACCAGAGAGCAAGTGTGAAAAATCGGGACGGGGGTGGGAGGGGTAATAGGTGCCTATATAAGAAAAAGTCCCCAAAATCAGGACTGTCCCTATAAAATCAGGACATCTGGTCACCCTACTCCAGTGGCACAAGGAATTGGGATCTTCCTGGTAGGGCCCAACACCAGGCTGTGCCGTAGAGATTTTCCGAACAAATAAATTGACGCTGCCCCGATTTTCCTTTTCTGCTGCTATCACTTTAAGGCTGGAATGTGAACCCGAAGATCTGAGTGGAAGAGGCGAATCCTGCCTCAGAGGCGTCCCCTGTCAGTGGGACTGGGACGGTTCTGCTGAGCAAGGGTGGCAGGAACTGCGGGGTCTGGTGCAGGGGGTCTGTGAGCCTGGGAGTGCGGAGGGAGGGTCTGGAGGCAGGGCAGGGATGAGTGGATTTGTGACTAGAGGGATCCCTTGTGTGGCTGCCCTTCAGGCTGGTGGTAGGTCCCTGCAGTCCATGGCCTCAATTACTCAAGTTGGGGCACTTGTGATCAGCTGAAAAGAAATTCTGCTCTATGGCAACTCTGAGTCAGTGGAATACCGAATCCCTGTCTGATCTCTGCATCACTGTGGTATCTGAGCCGCCAGTTGCTCCACTGACTGTGTTAATTAACAGATAACATGCAAAATCTCCATGTAAAGGGTTTAGTAATAGAAAGCAAGGAGACATTAGCAATGTCCTGCGTGAGATCCCAGCACAGCCAGACACATGGCACAAGTTTTGCTGATATGGGGACTGTGTAAAGAGTGTTTCACTGTGAAAAATAAAACTAATCTTTTAAAATTGATCCTTTTAAAACTATAATGTCGATTAAAAAAGATAAATACACACACACATACATAAAATTCCAGCTGGGTTTTAAGTCCCTCTTTGGGTTTGATATATGAGTATACAAACATCATAAACACAGTGTATTTAAATATATTACTCTATACCAGGGGTAGGCAACTATGGCACGCGTGCCGAAGGCGGCACGCGAGTTGATTTTCAGTGGCACTCACACTGCCCGGATCCTGCCCACCTTAATTTTAAATGAAGCTTCTTAAATATTTTGAAACCTTATTTACTTTACATACAACAATAGTTCAGTTATATATTACAGGCTTATATAAAGAGACCTTCTAAAAAGTTTAAAATGTATGACTGGCACGCGAAACCGTAAATTAGAGTGAATAAACGAAGACTTGGCACACCACTTCTGAAAGGTTGCCGACCCCTGCTGTATAGAGTGCAGCTATGGGGTCAGATCCTGCAGTCTCTCCTTGGGCGAAATACCCCTGGGCTTCAAAAGGACAGCTGTGATGTTGTGGATTGTGCTCATGTGTGGGGCCTGGCCAATATGAAGTTACCTGGGTTAAAGTGGTAACTCGCTACCACTGGAAGTTGCTGAGACCAAGAATTCAGCAAAGATTAAAAAAGGGACGGACCATTTCTGTGGATAGCTAGAATATCCAGAGTGATCCTAGTTCTTGTGAACAAACATTCTCAAAGGGATCAAACCCTTGTGGTACAGAACAAACTATATTAGATTCAAGCAGTGTTTCTCACCACATGCTTTCAGCAGAGTTACTGACCAAACTCTCATGTCAGGAATCCTCCACCAGAGTCCAACACCTGCTTCCTTTTTCTCTTCAGGTACAGTAAATGTATTAGCCAGAGAGAGAGAGAGAGAGAGAGAGAGGGGTGTTCCTTGAGGATGTTTGTCCATCCTTGTTATAGTTGCAGTCTCCCTCTTGAAAAACATTTCCAGCTGACCACTAGGAGACAGAGTCTATGTGGAAGGGTGTTCCCTGCTGCTTTTTTCACGTTGTTGAATTTACTTTGTTTTCTCTTTCTGCTTGATGACTCTGTTTACTGCTTAAATGCAAATTAGCAGAGCACATATTCCTTTGTTTAGGACAGACCCGTTTGCCAACTTCTGTTTGGGCAGGGCTGTGGGGTTTGGAACATGGCTTAATAACACCATAACAGGAAATCTTATAATATCACATATAATGAAGCCACACATATTTTATCAGGATGATGCTGACCAGCAAATTACAAGTTTTCAAATAATACCTTAAAAGACATGCCATGTACAAAATGGTTACAATAGCATGTAGGGTGTGATCACAAGGGCATATTCTGTCACAGTGGGGCACTGACGCACCCCACACATTGAGAAACGCGGGACTAAGGGTGTTGGTGAGTAGCTGGAGGACTAGAGCAGAAAGGGTATTGTGCTGCAAATTGGAGGCTGTGCGATCCAATGGGGAGTAGGAACCAGGAGAGCTGGGGGTTATTCCCAGCTCATCTGGAGACCTCAGGAAAGTTTCTTCCCTTCTCAGCAGGGCCGGCTCCAGGCACCAGCAAACCAAGCATGTGGTTGGGGCGGCAAATTTTCAGGGGCGGCATTCCAGCCAGCCCTTTTTTTTTTCCCCTCCCCTCTTTCTTTTCTTGGGGCGGCAAAAGCCTAGAACCGGCCCTAGCAGCAGCAGCGCGTCCTATATGGGGGGTGCCCTGGGGCCGCTGCAGTTGGCGTCGGGGAGCAGCGTCCGTACCTTATGCCCGGGTGGCCTCAGAGCGCGGGACACTCGGGCTGGGGACGGAGTGACCTGCAGGTGTCGCAGGGCGGCCGCCCCCCAGTGCCGCAGCCGGGGTTGGGCGAAGTGGCCCGAGCCACCCAGGGACTGTGGCAGGGCGGCCAGGAGCAGCAGCAGCAGCAGGGCCATAGTGGGGACCAGTGCCCGGGGCGCTGCCGTGTGGGGCCCGCGTCCCGCACTCCGGGGCTATGCTGTCTCTGGGGCTGCCCTGCTCTGCCCTCCCGGGTCCCTGCCGGTCCTGGAGGCAGGAGCCCCGGCTGGAGGGACCCGGAGCTGAGGCGCGGCCCGGGAGCCCCCCCACTTACCCCGACCCTGCCAGCGCCAGACCGACTGGAGGCGAGGGGGGAGCGGGCGGAGTCAGCACTGGTGGGGGGAAGCCCAGTGCTGGGGCAGCAGGGAGTGCGGGTGAGGTGGTGGGGAGAGCCCAGAGTTGGGGCGGCAGAGGGTGGGGGGGAGAGCCCAGCTCTGGGGTGGCTGGGAGGTGCGGGGGGAGCCTAGGGCTGGGGTGGGGGGCAGCTAACATTTTTTTTGCTTGGGGCGGCAAAAAACCTAGAGCCGGCCCTGCTTCTCAGTGCGTCAGTTTTTCTCTGTAAATTGAGATAACAATGCTGATCCCTTTTGGAAAGCGCACGGAGATCTGTGGATTCAAAATGCTGTGCAAGAGCGAACCGTACTTGAAACCCAGAAAGAAATTAAATGAATTGTTCTGATCCCTTGATTGTTTTTAGTGGTCGGAGTCACTTCTAAATTCCAAGGGCAAGCGGGGCTGTTTCAATGAAACCTAAATAACAAAGTTCCTGCTTTAATCTGCTTCTTAGCAGTGAAAGATCTACAGAGCCCCGACATCCTTTGTGGCTTCATTGGGACAATTCATTTCCACCGCCCGAACCAACACTCAGCGGCAGCATGCAAGGAATCAGTGATCAGTTGATAAGCCAGGCCTGCCAGGTGCTTGTATATAAACATGGAGTTCTCTGGCTGGACTGGCAGGCGTAGCATTGGGGCATGAAGATGAAAGATGAACTAGATTTGACCTGGTCTAGGTGTTCACCTGAAACCTTCTCCCCAGCCCCCATGTGTACGGATAATGCTGGTGTTTGTTGGTTGTGTTTGCTTTTAAAAGGTCACTTTCGCTATTGGTGCCTTTAAGGCAGAGGGGGTTGGTGCATCAGAGGAATAGCTCTGTCTCTCCATGTAAAAGAAGTTTCTGATGCTCAAATCTGCAGTTGGAAACCTCAGACATTGGAACTATGGCCCAAGTGGGTCCTGACCCTCTCTTCGGTGTGTTACATTGTGACTTAACGTGGAAGTTGTAATATGTTAACTTGGCAAAGAGACACTTTAAAAAGCCCAAGACATTGTTGGTTTCTCTACATCTGTAAAATGAGGATAATGCTACTGAGCTGCTCTGTAAAGTGCTTTGAGATCTACTCATGACAGCACTAGACATTATTATTACACAGCATCAGCTTGGGTCCGTCTGGCTCCCCAGCACCACAGAACACACGAACCTCAGTGCACTAATCCTCAGAGCACCCTGGTGAAGTAGGGACGGTTCTCACCACTGGAGTCAGTGACGGGGAGAATTGAACCCAGCTGTACTGAATCTGAGCCTTAACAAGCCCCCTCTGCCTGCCTCTTGCACTGGGTAGCTGTGGTGCAGGGCCCTTTGGCTGGGCTCGTGAAGCTGTGGCCGTGCCGTGTGCAGGCAGGTTCCACAGCATGAGTGAAATGTGCTGGCGTCAGTTCTGCTGCAAAGCAAGGAGAGAAACTCCTAGGAAAAAGGTCTGAGATGGGACTTGGGAACCGATCCCCTCGCTTCCCTTTTCTGGACATGATTCAAGCGCTGACTGGAGCCAGCGTGAGGCATGGCATTGACTTCAATGAGCTTCAGGTCAGGCAATATCGGCCTCAGTTTCCCCATCTGCAAAATGGGTATAATGAGACCTGGCCACCCTACAGGGGTGATGCGAGGCTCAGTTAGCAAAGGGAGTGCAGAGGGAGGGCTTGCTTTGTGCACATGATGCTACTTGATTTCCTCCTAGTCTCTGGCGCTCCCCTCCCAGCCTGGTTCCCGTGAGCTTCCTGATACACAAGCCCATCACTGAGCCCTCAGTGCGCTCTGGAAACGAAAACTGCTCTAAGGATGTCACTGCAAGGCCATCCCCACTGCGGCAAACCCCCACTGAACTCAAGGGCTGCAGGGTCTCGAACTTTCCTCTGGGATGTTAGTGCCATGTGCAGGTTATGCAGAGAGTCAGCGCAGCCCTGGGAGCAGGAAGATTTGGGGAGGAGCCCTCACTCCCGCCCCCCGCCCCCAGCCTGGCTATTAACCAGCTGATCTACTGTTTTTCCTGCTGCAAAGTCAACAATGAAACAATTCGCTCTCCTGCTGCTCCTCATCCACGTGACCAGGGGCCGCCCTTGCGGTAAGTGCCTTTTTATTCTCCTCTTCCAGGAAATAATTCTCCCAAACCCTAAGGCAGCCTCCTGCCAACCAGAACTTACCCTGAATTAGCTGCAACAATTTTCTTCTGTCCGTGTTCCAAGGCCAAGGTTTTCAAAGATGGGTGCCTAGGGGTATTATTAATTATTGTGATAGCACCTAGGTGCCCTAGTCCTGGACCAGGACCCCATGGTGCTAGGCACTGTCCACTATCTATTAGGTGTATTATGGTAGTGCCTAAGTGCCCCAGTTGTGGACTAGGACCCCATGGGGGTAGGTGCTGTCCATTATCTATTAGGTGTATTACGGTAGTGCCTAGGCGACCCAGGACAGGACTGGACCAGGGACCCCATAATTCTAGGCGCTGTACAAACCCAGAAGAGAAAGATGGTCCTTGCCCCAAGGAACTTCCCATCTAAATATAAAAAGTTTGGCTCGAAGCCCAAGAGTTTCAAAAGTGACGAGTGATTTTTGGGTGCCAATCTTGAGACACCTTAAAGGGGCCTCAGATGTCTTGAGTTGAGCACGCAAAATCAGTCTGAAAATCTTGACCCCAAAAGACTCTTCAATAAGAAACCTTACTTTCAAAAGCCCTGAACCTCCCGCAGCTCCCACTCCAGTCACTTCTACAACCTAGCTCCTATTTGCGATTCTCAAACTTATAAAGATTTTCCACTACTGATTCAGGGATGCGAAATAGTTCTTAGACTTACCTCCTATTAAAAGCATCAATTCTACTTTATATGTAGACAGGTGTGTGCTGGGCCGCCCAGAGGATTCAGGGGACCTGGGGCAAAGCGGGGGAGCTGCGGCGCTTGTACTCACCCGGCAGCGGTCTGGGGTTTCAGCGGTATTTCGGCGGCGGGGGGCCCTTCAGTCGCTCCGCGTCTTCGGCAGCACTGAAGGGCCCCCCGCCGCCGAAGACCCGGACCGCCGCAGTGTCAGGGCTCGCGGGGCCTAGGGCAAATTGCCCCACTTGCTCCCCCTCTGGGCGGCCCTGGATGTGTGTTTGTGTGTCTTTGTGCGATTGTGTGTAGGGAGGAGGATTTGCATGTTTGTGTATGTCTGAGTTTGTGCTTCTTTGTGGCTGGTCCAAAAATAACTGCATTCTAAAATAAAACAATGTAAAACTTTAGAACCTACAAGTCCACTCAGTCCTACTTCAGCCAGTCGCTCAGACAAACAAGTCTGGTTACAATTTGCAAGAGATAATGCTGCCCATGTCTTGTTTACAATGTCACCTGAAAGTGAGAACAGGCATTCGCATGGCACTGTTGTAGCCGACACGGCAAGATATTTATGTGCCAAATGTGCTAAAGATTCATGTGTCCCTTCATGCTTCAACCACTATTCCAGAGGACATGTGTTCTGCTCAATAACCATCTCATAGACTCATAGACTGTAAGGTCAGAAGGGACCATTATGATCATCTGGTCTGACCCCCTGCATGCTGCAGGCCATAAAACCGTCCCTACCCCTTCCCTGGACTCTGCTGCTGAAGTCCCCAATCCTGTTATCTAAAGCAGAGCGGATCAACGCATGTTCATTTTCATCATCTGAGTCAGACGCCATCAGCAGAAGGTTGATTTTCTTTTTTGATGGTTCGAGTTCTGTAGTTTCCGCATCGGAGTGTTGCTCTTTTAAGACATCTGAAAGCATGCTCCACACCTCTCAGATTTTGGAAAGCACTTCAGATTCTTAAACCTTGGGTCGAGTGCTGTATCTATCCTTAGAAATCTCACATTGGTACCTTCTTTGTGTTTTTCCAAATCTAAGTGGTCTTAAAACGCAAATGTGCTGAGTCATCATCTGGGACTGCACCCAGGGCTCCGTGCCCGGTGCCCCAGCTGTGGCCCCCAGCCTCAGCCCCCTTACCCCTATCCATATCCCCCACTCCTGCTCTACGCAATTTTCTTCTAAAGCCTTTCTTCTTTCTAAGTATTTGCAGACTAGTTTGAACAAATCATTTTCAGCCTTGTGGGAGAGCGGATTTAAATGTCTATTCAATGCAGCTATTCGCTGTCTCCTATTCATGGTGATTGGTCATCTAAGTCACATGGTATATTTTCCTCCCCATTATTGATTGACAGAAAACGTTAAAACCAGAGATTAACGAAGTGTGGCTAACACACTCTCTAGAGTGAACATTCAGTTGATAAAATGTTCCTGCTAAAATTAGTGAAACTCTTGGGATTCATCAACCATCAGTCAGATACCTCGGGGTCATTTCAATATGTGGTCCCTGGAGAAAGGTTCAGGCTTGAATCCCACTTTTGGCACCATCTAATAAGGGTGTGACACACAATAGTGCTGAAAAGTGTATAAATTTTATTCTCCATCCCCAGTCACCTGATCTAGTTTAGGGTTATATGGGTCAGAAGGCGGGGGTCCACTAACTCCATTGGTCACAGTTGTCCAATGAGTAGAGCTGGGCAAAATTTTTTGGCGAAAAAGATCCCTTGTGGGGATTTGAACCTAGGTTTCATACCTTTTAGGGGAGTGCCCTAGCCATGGGGCTACTGGGTATAAAGGGCAGGCCCCCGTCCTAAAATTTTTTGGGGGTTGGTAGCGAATTGTGAATTTTTTTTATTGCCCATTTTTTCGTATAAAAACCCAGAAAGTTTAATGAAAAAAAATCATTTAGAAAAGAGGCCATTTTTTGTCAATAATAATAATAAAAAACTAGATGGAAAATTTTTGGCCAGTGCTAATAAAAATGAAAGTCTTAAAAAGGTGATATCACTTTAAAATATGGGGGGTGCTCCAGGTTATACACACACGGCATCACCACTGCCCAGTTCTGGAGCAGCCCCAAAGCCCAACCCCCCAAAAAATGTATAGACAAGTAGAGCAATTTATTTGACCCCAGTTATTTTTTACATCTAACATTTAATTGTGAAAAGAAAGGGGGGGGCTAAGAAATGTGTCTTGTGGGAGAATATTTTTCTCACTGGGATTTATGATTGCAATGAAAAGTTGCCTGTGTGCATCACAGCTGGCAGAGTCAGGGCCGGTGCAAGCTATTAGGCGACCGGGCGCTAGCATTTGGGGGGCGGCATTTTCTTCGGCGGCGACCCCGGCGACCGGATCTTCGGCCGCCCTGATCGTCGGCATTTAGGCGGAGGGAGCTGGGGCAGGGCGGTGCGGGGGGGGGCCGCCTGCAGCAAGTAAGGCGGTGGGGGGGCGACACGCAGGGGAACTCCCCGCCCCAGCTCACCTCTGCTCCGCCTCCTCCCCTGAGCGCGCCACCCTGC